TTTGCTGGCTCTACGGCCATTCCTTCTGGCAAGCCCCATGCCCCAGCATGCCCTGGCTGGGAACTCTAGACGGGCAGAGACGCAGCCCCTTGCACACTCATTGAAAAACTCAACCTAGTCTTGGCAGAAATCTAAGCTGCGTTATTTGCTCAGCTTCAACCTTAATACACCCCCTGTTCCTGCTGCCCCGGACAACCCGTCACTAAGAGCTAGAGAGGTCAGGCAGGGCTACGTACAAGCTGCAGGAAGAGTTACTCACCGGAGGAGGAGAAGAAGAAAAGAGACAGGCTGAGGAGCACAAAGAACCCTGCGTTCATGGCTGTTTAGCACGAGTGCAAGAGCCTGCTCGGTAGATGCTTTCTCTGCAGTGCTCATGGACCTGCCTCTCCATCTGTTTATATACACCCAGGCAAGTTCACATCCCCACCCGCATTAGGAACACTTTCTCCCTCTCCTTTCTCAAGTCATCATTGGCCCGAGGAACCAGCTGTCGTTTACGAGGCTCCGTCCCAGGCGTTAGGAATGCGGCTCTATCCACATCAAACCCAGCGATCTGGGTTAAGCATGCAAGTCACATGCTCTGGCTTGTACCTGTTTGGGAATCTCCACTCTCCAGGTAATCACGGGACTCTTGCTAGTGGGAGAACGTTCCAGGCAGGGACTCAGGAGGGAGGCTGGAAATCGGGGGCCCTTCCTGAGTCCCGGCAGTGGGGTCGGCAGTGCAGCAGGCTGGCAGCCCAGGGGCATGCAGGAAATGACTCACGCCAGGAGGATGGAGTGGGTGTGACACCAGCTATTTGGTGCACCCTTTCTATTTTGGAAGTCCAGACTAAATTTGTTCCGGTGGGGTGGAGAGAGGCAGCGTGAAGTGGCCCGACTGGATGGCTGCTTGCGGAGTCGCGGGTCAGACCTGCCGATGCTCCTCCCTAGATTAGGGCGATTAGTCATTTGTCAGATCTTCTAAAACAAGGCTGCATCCTGGCCCCAGGCCAGCCAACGTGAGCTCTCTCCAGTTCCGCGCTGAGCGGCATGGGACACAACCCGTCTGTTCAGTTTGCCCGCCTGTAGAAAGGGGGGAACAAGTCCCTGGAGGCCAGAATTGCTGCACTTCAGGTTCATTTGCCCTTTGCAGACCGTTCCACGATGCTTCTTGCGGAAGGACCTAGCGGGTGAGATCTAGACTCTGCAGGGCCCTGGCGCTTGCATTGTCACAGGATACTGCCGTTGGATGCAAATGGATAGAAAAATCGCGCGAGCAAGGAAGAGCTATTGTAAGGTCAGTGCAACCACGAATGGAACATGGCTCATAAAGCGTTGCCATTGCTAACTCTCTGAAAGCCCTCCAAGAAAAGCCTGGGAAGGGGAAAAGATTTCACGGTGTATAACGCAGAGCGTGAAAGGGAGTGTTGTGAGCAAGACACAAGGGCTATGTCGACACTCGCGGCTTCTTGCATGAGAAATATGCAAATGAGGCTGAGCGTGGAATATCGCCGAGCCTCATTTGCATGCCTAATGAGCCACCATTTCTGCAGAAGAGGCTCTTGCGCCAGAAGGAGCTGTCTACACTGCCCCTTCTTGCGCAAGAAAAACCCTCTTGCGCGATGCCGTTATTCCTGAAAATAATCAGCGAAGCAGCATTGCGCAAGAGGGTTTTTCTTGCGCAAGAAGGGGCAGTGTAGATGCTCTTTCTGGCGCAAGAGCCTCTTCTGCAAAAATGGCGACTCATTCGGTATGCAAATGAGGCTCGGCGATATTCCACGCTTAGCCTTATTTGCATATTTCTCGCACAAGAAGCCGTGAGTGTAGACATAGCCAAGGAGTCATCCTTCCGCTCTGCTCTGCACTGATTAGACTTCAGCTGGAGGATTGTGTCAGTTCTGGACACCCCAGTTCAGGAAAGATGTGGAGAAACTGGAGAAGGTCCAGAGAAGAGCCACAAAAATGATGGAAGGTCTAGAGAACATGACTTCTGAGGAAAGACTGAAGGGATTGGGCTTGCTTAGTTTGGAAAAGAGAAGACTGAGGGGGACATGAGAGCGGTTTTCAAGTATCTAAAATGGTGTCACAAGGAGGAGGGAGAAAAATGGTTCTCCTGGGCCTCTGAGGACAGGACAGGCAGCAATGGGCTTAAACTGCAGCCAAGGAGGTTGAGGTTGGACATTAGGAAAAATTTCCTGCTTGTCAGGGGGGTTAAATGCTGGAATAAATTGCCCAGGGGGGGTGTGGAATCTCCCTCACTGGAGATATGTAAGAGCAGGTTGGACAGACACCTGTCAGGGATGCTCAGATGATGCATGGGGGGGACTGGACTCGATGACCTCTCAAGGTCCCTTCCAGGTCAATGATTATGATAAATGTACCACTGAAATCCGAGGTGGCGGAATGCAAACCTCAGATCCCAGCTCTCCTAAAATAAGGGCAGAGAATTGACCACTAAGTCACGATTGACTACATCACGTATGGACTGTGGAACCACCTCTGAACTACCAGGCCGGGGGGGGGGGGGGGGGGGGTTGCGTTTACACATACTATTGGCTCTAAGACATTAGTGAGACTATCTGAGCAAGGACAGAAGGGTTGGGTTGGGTTGGGTTGGGTTTCCTTAGCCCCAGCCAGGTTCTCCTGCGGTGAACCAAGGAGCTGCTGAAAGATAGGCCAGCCCATGATGCCCTGCAATGGGGACTGGGTGCAGAAGAGAAGGGTGTCCCATAACACAGTCATCCCTGAAAAAGTGCAAGACTGGTTTGAACAGTGGCTGCTCTTGGTGCGACTGAAAACCTGGGTTTGGTGAAGTCTTTGGAAAGGGAATTGTTGCTGCTCTGCCAATGCAGGTGCTTCCAGAGACACTGGACAGGGCCAGAGGAAAGTTTGCCAAGGCCCATAAAAATGGCATCAAAGTGGAGCCAGCTAGGACTGGTAAATTACCACGGTGTCAGTCAAACGTGCCACTTCTTTCATGTGGTGTGATAATGTCTATGACACACGTGAGGCCAGGAGGAGATAAACAAAGGGCGGGTTTGCAGCAAGACACTCGCACACACGAGGAACAGTACAGCAGACGCGTGTTCTGGCCTCCTAGGTCCGCCACCCAAGGCAGCTGAGCCCCTCAATTCTGGGATCAGAGTTGAGATGCGATGGCACATGCCTGGCTGGAGCAAAGCAGCCAGAAAGGAGCTGGAGGGAACAATCCGGCAGGGGCGGAGGGAAGGACTAGACTGGGGGACCAGCCCTGTCTTGCCAGCTGAATGATGGCTTTTCCGCCTTTCCCAAAACATCTGCAATGGGCCACTGGCTGCTCCGATCGGGTGTGGAAATCCCCAGCTCCCTAGCGGTCAGCCAGGCCCCTGGGCTATGCTAGCGCCTGCGTCCGAAACGCCCGGTGAGGGCACGGCCGTGTCGCCTGCACAGTCTCGCCGGGAGACCGTTCCCACTGCTCTGCTGACTCTCACATTGCGCTTCTCTGAGCCTCTCGCCACGGGCCAACACTCAACTGCGGATCCTGCCTCCCTCAGAACCTGTGACCCAGCCGAGGCCAGTGGGGGGACCTAGTGAGTCCTGCCTCAGGTTTGGGGAGAGTTCCCGGGTGTGCTCCTGCCTCCGCTTTCCCCCCAGGGAGCTACCCTCCTGTTAGCCAATCAGGATCCCTGGCATAACCCCCAGCCCACCTCCCTCTCGCAGACTGGCTGGTGGGGCTGCGATAGGGCTTTGCTGGGCAGCCTGAGGGCAGCAGACGCCTGGGAAGACCCTGATTCCTCCTTTCCTCCGCTGGCAATGGCTCCTTTGGTCCATTGTGGCCATCTGGAGTGAGGCCTCTGCCTGTGCCCGTGGCCTGGTGTGAAGGAGCAGCGCGCATGCTCCAGAAACCACGTTTTATATTGCTCTGAATTAAACTGGCAATGTGGAGAAGGCAGAGTTGCTGTGTCGTCAAGTGAAAATGACTTTGTTTTACAGCTGGCAGGAGGGAGACAGCGGCCTAGCCCATGCCGGGAGAAGGCTGGACTGTCGCTGTGCCAAGGAATGGGGTAAGCAAGGCCAGAAGAGGGGCCGGGAAGCCCCAGATTAGAAACCAGACTAGGCGGGTCCTTCATCGCCTCTGGTCATGCGGACTTATCCCCCTCGTGCAAGGGAGTTTCACTGGGCTGCATGCTCCTCAGCTGTCTTAGGTGCCCTGGAATGGCAAGTTGCTGCGTGTCACTCATGCTCACGTGGGTCGAAATTCACACTGCTGCTCGTGTCATGCACGTGCACTGATGGAGGTTTATCATCGTCTTCATGCTCCCAGGCAGGCAAATTGGTACCGACGCGCACACACCTCAGCCTCCCCATGAGTGCCGTTGTAAGACACATTCTACCATTGTAGTCACTAAGGGCATGACTCCGTGGACGGAGCCATGTTGATGACCTTTGTAGACATAGGAAAATGAAGCAGCGATTTAAATAATCGCCGCTTCATTTAAATAAAAATGGCTGCCACACTGTGCCGATCAGCTGTTTGTCGGCACACCGCGGTAGTCTGGACACGCCGTGGTTGGCATCAAAGCCCTTTGTAGACCTCTCCGTTATGCCTCCTGGAATGAGGTGTAACAAGTAATTCAAACTAAGGACTTAGTTCGAATGACCTTTTAACTGCTGCGTGTAGCTGCGGGCAGTTAGTCCGGACTAGTGACATTTAAAAATGGCGGCTGGAGGGGAACATGCAAATAAAGCCCGGGATATTTAAATCCTGGGCTTCATTTGCAAGTTCGAATGCCTGCATTAGGCTCCCTAGTTCGAACTAGGGGGCTAGTGTAGACACACCCTAAGATGCCACGGGCCTGCTTGTTGACTGTAAGACACAGGTATTGATTAAGTAAAGAGCCTGACATTCATGGACGAGAATTAACGCCCCACATGCCGAAGCGGGAGGAGGAAATGGTTTTAGTAAGTTTCTATCAAAGCAGAACGTGCGCTGCTGTCATGTTGCAGAATTGAGCAGTAAACACCAATCAGAGGGCTCCTAGGGCATGTTACTGGTGTTGCACGTGCGGGTCTCAGCTTCCAAAGCCTGAAAGGGACCGTCATGATCATCTAGTCTGAGCCGCTGCAGGTCGCAGGTGACAGAACCTCCCCACCCGCTCCTGTGACAGACCCGAACCTCTGGCTGAGTCACTGACACCTTCCCTTGCGGCTCGTTCCCCCCCACACCCAGGTGTGTGATTTATCATGTTTATTATAGTCAGACCTGAAGGCCAGGACCTTAGAGGCCCTCGCACCTTGCCCCTAAGGAATACACAGAGGCAGAGAATGCTGCCAAGCTGCCTTTATTGATAGAACCAACAGTGAGGCCCCCGTGAGCAGCCAGAGCACGGGGTGGGAGGAGAACACGTTCCAATGCAGGGCTTTGCTAGTGGAACGGGGGAGCAAGAGAGCCGCTCTCAGCACAGCCAGCACCCCTGGGCATTCAGCATTCCCCGTACCGCTGGAGGTGGAGTTTCCTGTCACTGATTCTGGAGACGAGAGAAAGAGAGAGAGATTGATCAGCAACAAGTAGCCCTAGAGGAACGGCTCCCCTCCTTATTCTGTTCTCCAGGCCAGCTCAAACACAGGGCACTTCTTTGAAGCTCGGTCCCTTTTCTTTGCTGTTTGTGGCAGCTATTTTGTACCAGTCTGAGAGAGGAGTTTGGAAAGGGACCTAGAACTTTTGTACAAACCTATTTTATACCTCGACAGATGGGGGACTCAGGAGGACTGGGGGACAGTAACTGGGGAGCTGGGCTAAACAGCTGAAGTGTTTGTCCCGGCTAAGGGGTTCTGTAGAACATGGGTGGACCTGAAGAAACAGAACCAGGTTCCGAGATGGAGCTCGATTTGCGAGAGGCAATGGGGAATCCAAGTGGAGCTGGGTGGCTGCAAGACGATCAACATGCCCTCTGGCCTGTCACTGTGTTTCTCACAGCCTGAGGGCCCACTGCGGCACTTCTTGCTCACCCCACAGTTTATCGCCCTGCAGTAAAAAGCGAACAGCTGCAGGCTTTGAACACCCTTCAGGGAAGGTGCCAACCCTTCGGCTCTGCCGACTGTTCTGTCCACCAGAGGTGAACTCTACGTACTCAACGGCGTTGCAGAACTGACATTTGTTGCTGTAGGTTTTGCCATCGGAGCCACAATGGGCCAAGGACTCCAGGGTGCAGGAGGAATGGGGATGCGTGTAGTCACTGCAGTCAACCTGCAAATAAAGGGGCAACACCACACGTTCAGTCCTCTGCTGCCTCTGGTTTCCTAGCAGAGCTCTTTGTTGTTTAATATTTATAGCAGGCTAGTGCCCAGACCCATCTCAGGATCGGGGCTCTGTGGTGCTAGGCACGAGCTAAACAGGCGCTGTCCCCGCCTGCTAACAGGCACCTTGTCCCCTGCACAAGCTAAACAGGCTCCGTGAGCGTGCACTCTGAGATGTCTGAAATGTGCAGAAGGTGGAGAAGAGCACCGCAGGAATACGTTTCATACATAGCTACTTGCTCCAGCAGCCCCTCCTCCACGGGCATTAGTATGCAGAAGAGGAGGGTTTTGAGTCAGGAGGAAGAGGCCGTGCAAATCCAACTGAGGAGGATGCAGGAGGGGGATTATTGCTCATTGCTAATCAATGCCTCTGATCGTAGCTGATTCACCAGCTTGCTTGCTGCAGGAGGGCTTGAGACAGCAGCCACCGCAAAGGCCCTTTTCCCAGTTGCAGAAGTGGCTGACGCTGGCAGAGCCCAATGTTTGTGGGTTTGGAGTCCTTCTCTCCAGAGGGATGTATGGGAATGTGATCGATGGGAGAGGCACCGCCTGTAACGGGTTAAACTCAGAGAATCCCGGAAAAGATTCCAGGGAGCGTTGGCAGGGAGCCAGGAGAGCAGTGGGAAGAAAGTGTTAAGATTTGAATATAAAAAACAGGTTTTGCCTGCTCCAGGCTCCTTTGTGTTGGAGAAGCAACAGGGGCTGAGAGAGAGATGAAATGAGCCTGGGAGGCAAAAATGAATGTACAGCACTAACTATGTCTAGGAGAACAAAACCCGGAAGCAACAAAAGTGAGTAGACAGGAAATGTTTAGTTAGCTGCCATCAGGTTAATTTCTTTTAGTTCCTGGCTCAAAATTCCTCTGTGCTTGGATCATGTGCCCTCCCCCAACATACTGTAACTGAAATTGAATCCCAAAGAAGCAATTTGTGCGTTAATTTGTTTTTCGTTACTCTATAACACCGGGCAACCACGTATGCTTTGCTTCTCGTTTTGTTAATAACATCAACCTTTTTAAGGCTATGATTTGATTGTTGTGTCCTGGAAGGTAATAGGAGGTCTGGATATGCATGCCTAAGACTGAGAGATCAGCTGTCAGTGATTGCAGGTTTTTTTCAAACTCCCTAGTGGTAAAAAAGCTTGGGGTGTTCCACAGGAAGAAGTTCCCAATGAACCTTCCCGGGTTCAGAAAGAAAGGATTTTTGTCACTGGGGTGGTGGCAGCATGCCACCCAAGGTCAGAGAATCCGTGGCCTTGGGGAGTTGTTAAGCAGAAGTCTATAGAGGCACGGCATTTTTTAAGTCTCTTGCGGACCTTCCGCACTCAAAGTGCCAGAGCGGGGAACAGCCTTGATAGGGGTGTTACCCCAGATCACACTTCAGCCCTGAGCTACTCTTGTCTCCTATCATCTCCCTGGTCTTGTGGCCCACGGGTGAGGAAAGCAATATCCACACAACACTGATACTTTCCTTCTCCTGGCTAGGCTGATGCGCGGGATTTAATTTGTGCCACATATAAATATAAACTGGGAATAAGCTTTACCTGGGGACATTCTCCTTCACGGTTCTGGTCAATGTCTGCTCCGTTCCTGCAGGAAGAAAGCAAGGTTAGTGGATACACGCAGGGTGGCCATGTCAGGAATTCGCTCCCCTCATCCCGCTCTGGGACAGGGGCTCTCAGGACCAATGTCTGGGTGGCCTCAGAGTGCGGCCATTAACATTTGCTTGTGGCCACTCTCACGCTTCCCCCTAAAATATTCCCTCTGCTTCAGGAAAACAATAAATAGGCTCATATCCCCGCCCATTTATTACTGGCCAATAAGCTGGCTGTGAAACGTGTGACTAAGAAACATGCAGTGTTGCTCGTCGCAGCAGGGTTACTCAGCCCCGGCCGGCCTGGGCACAAATGAAGCCCAGGATGGGGGGAGGAAGGCTGACGGAGGCAGCGGAGGGCTGCAGGACTGAGCCCAACACTGCATGCCAGAGCCCAGGGCTGCAGCCTGAACCCCAAAGCCAGAGCCTGCCCCTGTCACCCCAGAGCTGAAATCCAAGCCCTGAGCCCGACTGCCCTGGAAGGCGAGGAACGCGCTGGCTGCCTGATTCTCCAGCACTGTGCCCTGGTGTCTCTGGGGAAGGGCCCACGCCCTGCTGATAGCCCCGGCAATCGACACCAGAAACAGCAGGGAGGTGCTGCTTTGCATCCCCCTCCACACCTCATCATCACAGGAGTCTGTGGCCACAAGAAACCCCCCTGTGGCTGCATCTGAGAAACGCTGCTCTAGGAACCCACACGGTCATCTAACCGCCCACACGTCGCTTTCGCAGGCCTGCAGCTCCCCTGGCACTTACGCGACCGCAGAGCAGAAAGCACACTTGTTGCCATAGGTCACACCGTCCGTGCCACAGATCGGGTTGTACTCCAAGGTGCAGGGAGCTTCCTGGCCCAGGGGTGTTTTCATGTAGCCCGTGCAGTCAACCTGCACCAATCACAAGGCAACTTTTTCAGCCTATGCCCTCCCTCTCCTTCTTCAGGGATCTGACTGTGACTGACCTGCAGTCTCTCTCCCTGTCAGCTGGGAGGAAGTAAAAGAAGTGGAGAGCAAGGCCAATTGCAGGAGGGAGAAAAACGTGTGTGAAAGGCAAAGCTGAGGTCCGTAATGCTAACCACTCTTGCCAGATACAACCCCAAGTAATCAGACGCACAGTTCTGTGGACATAATGAACCATTCAAGGCCAAACATTATCAGTACTCCCCAATGGGGCTGCTTGTTCAGAGTGACACTGTGTTTCAATGCTCACAGTCCAGGAGATCTTACAACGAAATAGAAAATCAAACCTTAACATCGAAACAAAATATTTTAACTGACCCGACACAATGTTGTGGAGGTTTTGGAAAATGTTATTTTATGAGAAATGTCTCAATTCTTTGGGGTTTTTTCCAGCCTGGAATGAAAACAATGTCAACGCTGCCGAATTTCTCGCAAAAGGGAAATTTCTTGTTGCTCCCAGCTCTGTGCTAGCGCATTCATACCGTCTCTCTCGTGAGGGCGCGCCATTGCTAATGTATCAGGGAGAAGGGCTGGAACGGTGAATAGAGCAGCTACTCAGCTATACCTGAACACATCTTCCATCGTGCTTTTTGAAGATGGTGTTGCCGCATCTTGAGAGAGAAAGAGAGAAGAGTGCGCATGAGAGAGAATCATCAAATTCTATGATCATAGAGAGGTTAGTTTGTGAGCACTTACAGCAATCTCACTCGTTCACCTTCCTCAGACGCTGACACAATTAACCAAACTCCCTCCAACCAAGGAGGTCGCAAGTGATCTCTGGGTGGAACCACTGGCCAGAGCATAACAGACCCATAAAAAGGGTCACAGAATCAGACCAGATCGTGTCCAGGCCCGCCCCAGCTTTTCGGTGCAGCTGTGCTGCTTTGCTTAATCAGAAGTGATTTGAGAACTTACAGGATTTCTCTGCAGAGCAAACACTCGGTGGGGTACGTCACGCCATCACTGCCGCACACTGGGTCAGCCAGGCTGGGACAAGGAACTTCGCCATTGGGAAGCACTGGGTAGCTGCTGCAAAGAGGCTGTAAAAGTGACAGTGTCGTTTGGGGGGTGGCCTGGACTGCAACATTACATTTTGAACATTAAAGAACAGAAAATGAGATGATTTTCTTGGAATCAGCCAACTTTATGAACCATTCACTGCAGCCCCTTAATGGTATTCAGACGGCTGACATTTCTGTAGCCTTTAACACAACATGTGAGGGATACTTGATCATATAGGACACTGTTAGGCAATTGGGATTGAACTAAAAAGCACATGGAGTATAGTAATTTAACAAGGGCCCCTAACAAATACGTTATGGATGAAAGACCCTCTCCCTCCGCAATAGGTCTTAAGTGGGTTTTAAGTGGCACATTAGCCTTGCATTGGCCCTCTGTGCTGGGGTGAATTCCCCCCCCCCCGTGTTATTAGTAGTTGTTTATTTGTATCAGTTGCACCATATAGAATGCATCCAAATCCCAGGGATTCATTGCCACAATTCTACAGCAAGGGCTTCTTTTCACTTTTTGAAGGAAATGACAAAGAAGATCTGAAACTCACCTGCCCTGCCCCAGTGGCAACACCTGGAGCAAAAAAAAGAGACAAAAAGGTAAAAACAAAGCAGCATCTTTGATAAAAAATCAATTAGGAAACATTATCCTAAAGAATAACCCTGCACCTGATGAACTAGCTTTGTGTCCATGGAAGCTTATATTGATTGGACTTCCCTGAGGGATTTTGCTGGACCTGGTGGGGGGGAGAGGGGGGTGTTTGTCCAACCTGGTCTCCCTGCCTCCCCCCTGGAGTGGGCCAGGTTCCCCCCACCCTGCAGCGTGCCAGGACTCTGACACTGGAACATCCATAGTCCTGCCAGGAGGAGCAACCTGCTCCCAAATAAATCTGTTAGGGTACGTCTACACTAGCCCCCTAGATCAATCTAGGGAGGCTAATGAAGGCGACCGATATTGCAAATGAAGCGCAGGATTTAAATATCCCGCGCTTGATTTGCATGTTCCCGGCCAGTCGCCATTTTAGAAATTGACTAGCCCGAAGTAACTGCCTGCGTCTACAGGCGGCAGTGAAACGGGATTCCGAAATAAAGCCCTAACTCGAATTAGCTGATATTCCTCCTGCAATGAGGTTTACCAGCTAATTCGATTTAGGGTTTTATTTCGGAATCCCGTTTCACTGCCGCGTGTAGATGCGAGCATTTACTTCGGGCTAATCAGTTTCTAAAATGGCGACCGGCTGGGAACATGCAAATCAAGCACGGGATATTTAAATCCTGCGCTTCATTTGCAATTTTGGTTGCCCTCATTAGCCTCCGTAGATCGATCTAGGGGGCTAGTGTAGACGTACCCTTAGTCTTTAAGGTGCCACAGGACTCCTCAGTATTTTAACCCTGGAAACCAACCGCGGTTACTTGTACGAATGGCCACAGCTGATATTATATCTCCTCTGAGCAGGCAACAGACAATATTCTAAGGCTGAAACTTTTTGACCATTTAATAAAAACAGATTTTGCTTTGCTCGGTAGCGATACTCTGCAACGTGCACCTTGCCTCTGGGCACCACGAGTCCTGTACAGCCCCGTAAGTTGAAGGAGGATTTATATGCTGCAGAGGCTTGGTAGGAGCTCCCTGCACAGGGATGGATTTCATCCAGACCAACCCTCTGTCTTCAAACTCTCCCTGGCGCAAGCCACTAGCTCGGTGCCACTTCTCTGGGGATGCACATACATCCTCGGCTCCCTGCCTGGCTTCGAGAGGGATTGAGAGCTCAGCCAAAGGGCTTTACACACACGACAACGGAATGGACTCACCAGAGAAATAGCTGAGACAACCCAGGCTGAGCAGCACGACGGCGCCGAGAAGCGTCATGGCGGAGGCGACGGCCGAGCAAGAGTCAAGCGCGTAGGTCTCTGCCGAGGAGATGAGGTGTCTGAGGCTCCACTGTCAGAGCTCACGTGTTAAATATACAGTGTGTGTGTGTGTGTGTGTGTGTGTGTGTGTGTGTGTGTGTGTGTGTGTGCACGCACATCCCCAGCCTCGACTGTGAACTTGCCCCTCACACGTCATTGCTGTCTCATCCAGCGGGTTTCTATTGTGGCTTTTAGGCTTTCTTCTCCGTGCGGTGCCCAGGAGCGGGCAGCACACGCACCGGCTGCACCCCGATTGGGAACAACGGGGCCTGCTGTACCACGGGCGCTGTGCCTGGCCTGGACAATGGGCGTCTTGTGTGCACTGCAAGCTCTGAAATCGCGGGAAGGAAGGAAGGAAGCTGGTCATGTGGAAGGGCCAAGCCACTAAGCTGCTGCGTTCCGTGCTATTCGGGTTGCATCCGGCATGTGTGTGGGGTAAGATAGTCAAGGAGGCGGCAGCTTTGGGACTAGTTCTTTGGGGTGCCAAATGCTCGGTTGACATGGGACTTTAAAGGGGCCTGCAGGTGGGTCTCTGCCGATCGTCCATGCGTTCTACAGACTCTCACGGCGCTGGGAGGCCTTTACCGTACTGCCCGCCCTGTCTTCTCCAGGGCTTTCTCCTGTGCTAGGTTTCTCACCGGTCAGCTGAAAGTCTGGATCCAGGTTACATATCTTTGGTGGGGTGAACTCTGTGCCCAAGCACATGAAAGTTTCTGACCATCCGAGGACTGACATTTTGGAACAGGGAAGCCGACGGACACAGGGTTCAAGTGTGGTCATGTCTGTGGAGTGGATGGAATTTCAAGTTGCCCATAGAGCACATGGCTCATCGAACCCCATTTATCAATCGGATTCTCCATCTGCCGGCTTTTGTATTAACTGAACAACCAGGATCCCAGGTCCAGAAGTGGCAGTCCCTCCTGTGGCCACTAGATGGTGATGCAGCCTCACACTGTCCTATTCCCTGATGTCAATATCTTTCTCCCCAGCTCCATTCACTCCATCTTAGTGCTTTGATGTCAGTAGCCCCAAGTATCCTGGGGCCCAGCAGAGGTCAGGACACAGCTATCCCCTGTTGAGAGCTCCTGGGCATTAGAAATGTGGCCGCCTTCATTACAGGAAGGCTACACAGAGCTGTGAAGTAGATACTGTGAGAGCCATCCCAGCCAGCAATCGCGGTGAAAGAACCCTCCGGATCTCTACTCTAAGATTGATGTCTATCAGGGATGGTCTAGACAGTATTTGGTCCTGCCTTGGGGGCAGGGGACTGGACTCGATGACTCTCGAGGTCCCTTCCAGTCCTAGTGTTCTAGGATTCTGAGATGTCTCCATTCTGGGTATCATTTTCATTCTAACCCCACAGGCTACGTCTATTCTGTAGCCTTCTTCCGGAAAAGCATATGCAAATGAAGCGCGGCGTGGAATATTGCCACACTTCATTTGCATAAGTAATGAGCAGCCGTTTTTGCACACGAGGCTTTTGCGCAGAAATGAGCAGTATAGACGGCTCCTTTTTGTGCAAAAAACCCCTCTTTCAGGAAGAGCCGTTCTTCCTGAAAAAATGAGGAAGTTCGGCTCTGGAGCAAGAGGGGGGTTTTGCGCAGAAAGGAGCCATCTACACTGCTCATTTTTGCGCAAAAGCCTCTTGTGCAAAACCGGCTGCTAATTAATTATGCAAATGAAGTGCAGCGATATTCCATGCCACGCTTCATTTGCATAAGCTTTTCCAAAAGAAAGCTACAGTATAGATGTAGCCTTATTTTCAGGTGTGTACGCAGCGGGGCCAACAGCCTCGCCGGGCCTGTGGGCAAGGTATGAGGAGGGCCCTGCTCTATGCTCCAGAAGGGGCGGGGCATCAGGAGGTAGGGGCGGAGCTGGGACTAGGCAGTCCTCAGTGCTGCTCAGAGCGTGCTGGGTGGTGTTCCAGCAGCGATTTAAAGGGGTCGGGGCTCCGGCTGCTGCAGTAGCAGTGATGGGGAGCTTTCGGCCCTTTGGTATCCTCCGGCCCTGGGATAACTGCCCCCTTCCCCGATGGGCCTGTATCTATGTTTCTGAATAAAATGCCTTCAGCAACTGACATTTTCAAGGTTGGTCTCACGGCTGAAAGCAATTGTTTAGTTTGTGACAGTTTCATAGAAATCCATACAGCTAACTTCTCAGAAGGCCAAAAGAAGCATTTTTCCCCCAATAAGAATTTTTTCGGAGCCTTTCTTTGTTCTTGGGAAACCCAACCTTCCCCGATGTAAAATTTCGAAGTTGTCAGAGGCTCAGAGAGGGTGTATGCTTTGGCGATGGCTGGCAATAAGCGCAGGTTTGACATTACATGTACGGTCGAACATCTCCAGACGGCCGTGTGCTGATGCCAGTGTTTCTGACAGTGCGTCTCTAGACAATATGATCACACAGTGAGTGATTTACACGCCTGTGTGTGCAATTGTGTTTAGTTTACAAAGTGCATTTCCTGCCCATTCTCCTACTTGGCCGCATTCTATCCGGTCACATTTTGCGCAGTGTTGCAAAACCATCACCCGAAATGTGCGCTGGAGACATGCCCTGGAGGCAGAGCAGAGCTGGCGTTGGCAAACTTTACTAAGACAATGGAGCAAGACAAAATTCTCCTCCTGTTGCACAAGCGTAAGTTTGCCCAATATTTGCTCAGCACAAGTTAGCTGCCCTGCTCCTTTCTGCATCTCCCACAGTATCACTTTGGTATATATGGTTGTGCCAATTTTCTTCCACATATGTATCTGAGGAAGTGGGTCTGGCCCACGAAAGCTCATCACCTAATAAACCATCTTGTTAGTCTTTTACATACTTCTGTCTTTTGTAACCACAGCCTGTGTTTGATGCAGTGATGTCGGGAGTTCGTTAGTCTGGAAACCATGGGCCAGATCCTCAGCCAGCATCACCAGCAGGAGTCGGTGTAAATCTCCGGGGCTTGCCCCCTCTGAACTGCATTTCTGCAGAGTTTGATGTGCCTAGCTCAGAGCCATAAAGGGGCGGAGCCATTTTCCTTTTATCATTGATTGTCTTCATTTTCCCAACACCTCGATCTTGGGAACAATGCGGTTACACCCCATGTATCCGGAGCAAAGCACTGGAATAAAGTAATGAGGAACGAACAGACAGAACTGGTCTGCCCGGATTCCTGGTTTGCTTAGCACTACCTGGAACCACAACAGAAGCGTAAACATAAAAGGACGCCGAATGATGGAAATAATTATATATCACGCGCTAATGGGCTTGCAGAATGATCTTTAACCCAGGAAATACTAGGGAATGGCAGACAAGATACTAGTGTAATGAGTGCGGCATAAAACACTCAGACAGACAGACAGACAGACAGACAGAGACTGTTTCCTGCACCAACGGGCCCTGGAGGGAGCGACATTGGTGAACAGCAAGAGGCCTTTTCATGGTTTAGTGTAGGAGATTTCCCTGGGCTGGATTGATCAGCAAACAAAACGCATTTCAGATAGGCCATTTCAGAATAGCATTGGCACATCAAGGTCTTTGCAGGCCCTAGGCACTCTGATAACGGCAGGCCTTGAAACGAGATGATCTATAAATACATACGGGAGCAACGCCCTGTCGCTTGTGCACCTAATATTTAACCGCATGTTGTACCTGTGTGGTGTGTGCTGACTGAAGATAGCCCAGTGTGAAGTTTGATTTAGCATTTTTCTTTTCTTATTGTTGTCAGTTATGAATTTTTTTTAGGCTCTAAAGCAGGGCTACTCAGCTTTGGAAGCCCCACAATGATACTCACAGCACATGCCGAGGGCTGCAACTTAAGTGTGATTGCATAGACATGCAAATGTATATGCAAATATATGCAAATAGCTTATTTCACACTGATGGGCATGAATATAAAGCACTTCCCACAATGCCCTAGTGCTCCCGGCACCTCCTCCCTGGGGGCTAGAAATGCCGATACCATGGACCCGTCTGTTCCAGTCAACCCGTCCGCTTGCATCTTTCAGTGCTCTCCCTACCTGGGAGATGCTACGCTGCTGTGGAGCGTGTTCCCACTGTAGGCCGTGTTCGAAGGATCCCACCCGCTGCCGTGTGTTGAGTAGCCCTGCCCTAAAGTTTTTATAGACCTGAGGCCCTGTGCCTATTGGATAATCAGGCCCTGGGCACATTTGAAATCTGAGGAGCAGATCAGCCCTCACGTGGGATAAACTTCCCGAGAGAGCAGGACATCCCGGCTATGTCTACACTGGCGGGTTCTTGTGCCAGAAGTATGCAAATGAAGCTAAGTGTGGAATATCGCCGAGCCTCATTTGCATACCTAATGAGCTGCCATTTTGCGGAAGAGGCTTTTGGAATACAAGGAAAATTCCAGGAGGCAGGAAGAGTGGTAATTTTCTTTCAAAGCTCCAAAAAGTTAATCTGGACAACTTAAATACTAAAACAGTTAGCATGACATCATAGAATCATAGAATACTAGGACTGGAAGAGACCTCGAGAGGTCATCAAGTTCAGTCCCCTGCCCTCATGGCAGGACCAGATACTGTCTAGACCATCCCTGAGAGACATTTCTCTAACCTACTCCTAAATATCTCCAGAGATGGGGATTCCACAACCTCCCTGGGCAATTTATTCCAGTGTTTGCCCACCCTGACAGTTAGGAAATTTTTCCTAATGTCCAACCTAAACCTCCCTTGCTGCAGTTTAAGCCCATTGCTTCTTGTTCTATCCCCAGAGGCCAAGATGAACACGTTTTCTCCCTCCTCCTTGTGACACCCTTTTAGATCCCTGAAAACTGCTCTCATGTCCCCCCTCAAGCTTCTCTTTTCTAAGCTAAACAAACCCAATTCCTTCAGAGTAGTGATAGAAATGTAGCCGTGTTAGTCTGGGGTAGCTGAAGCAAAATGCAGGACAATGAGGAAGTGGGTCTGGCCCACGAAAGCTCATCATCTAATAAACCATCTTGTTAGTCTTTAAAGTGCTACATTGTCCTGCATTTTGCTTCACCAATTCCTTCAGTCTTCCCTCATAGGTCATGTTCTCTAGACCTTTCATCATTCTTGTTGCTCTCCTCTGGACCCTCTCCAATTTCTCCACATATCTCTTGAAATGTGGTGCCCAGAATTGGACACACTACTCCAACTGAGGCCTAACCAGCGCAGAGTAGAACGGAAGAATGACTTCTCGTGTCTTGCTCACAACACACCTGTTAATGCATCCCAGATGCAGAATGTGGAACTTAGTTTGGCCAAAAATTGCACATGTCCCTTGCCCCCCCTTCCAGTGGTCCATAGGAAGGAGGGCAAAGGACTCTACGTGACCACTGACCAATGAGGCCTCCCAAATTGGTCCCTCCCAAGGTCCAGACAGCCTCTGCCAATGACTCACCCAGAGGTGCAGCAGTCGAGATGAATCAACCAGAGGCTATCACTCCGGGGTACATTTCTGCACCTTCTTCCTCCTTTGAAAACGTGGATGAATTCCGGTGCCTGCATGAGCGCCCCAGAGCAGTGTCTCTCTGTCGTGCTCCTAGACTGAAATTCCCCGCATGATCATGAAACGATGCATTTCATGAGTTTGTATTTCGCTGCCTCATGACTAATGGGAACAGTTGTGGCCACTTACGATGGTGGATCCTAGACAGAGCAGAGCTTCCAACAACCAGTCCATGTACCCTGTTGGCGTCTCTCTGGCATCGTCACTCACCAGCCAGAGAAAGATTTTGCATGAGACTTGGCAATAAAACAAAATGCGGAAGTGTTGGTGAGTTTAGTTTTATTGAGCAAGAAAATCAGGAGCTCCAGTACTTGGAGTGAGTTGAGGACGCGGTTATATTCAGGGTCGATCCATGGGAAGTGAACAAAAGGGCTCTCTCGGGACTCAGCACCAACATGGATTCAACATTTTCCCAGATGGCTTAAGGTGAGAATCCCCTTGCTTTTCCTGCATGGGGAGAGAGAAAGAAATGGATCAGACACAGAGCACTAGGGTGCTAATACGTGTTCCTCACTGGACTAGCGCAGGAGGTACCTGATCGATACGTATCTTACTCCAGAGCGGGAAAAACAGAACATTCACAGTAACAAAGTTTCAAGAGCTATTTCCATCCAGGAGTCCAGTTAAAAGAAAGGTGAAAAATTGTATCTCGTTCTTCAGGAACCAACAGTGTTTGTGAAATATTGGTGCTGCTGTAATGAGACTCTGGATCAAATTCTCTGCTGGTGCGAAAAGGTGAAAACTCACTGTGGTGACTGGAGCTGAGCTTACTTATATCACTAGACATCTGGCCCCTTGAACTTTTGCCTTAATGAACACAGTTCCCATAAAAAAACATGTATCCGTCAACCTCTTTTGTCAACCAAATCCTCGCCCATTGGAGTGTCAACAGGCAAATGCAAAGTAGAGGACTTCACTTCCGTCTCTCAGACAGTGTGGTTAATCACTCCCATTATTCAGAAGTTGAGATTTAGGCTACATGTACACTATAGCCCAGATTGATGCTCTGAGATTGATTCAACGGAGTTTGATCGAGTGGGTCTAATGAAGACCCGCAAAATCGACCACAGATGGCTCTCCGGTTGATTCTGTTACTCTTCTCTGGATGAGAAAAGTAAGGGAAGTTGATGGAAAAATTTCTCCCATTGACTGCCTGTGGTATAGAACCAGACTTAAGGTACATCGACTCCAGGTGTGTCATTCATGTAGCTGGAGTTACATAGTTTGTCAACTTCCTGCTGTAGTGTAGATATAGTCTTAGTTCTGGACTTACGTGACGGCGTTGCAGAACTGACATTTGTTGCCATAGGTTTGGCCATCAGAGCCGCAGTGGGCCTGATACTCCAGGGTGCAGAAGGGGCGGGGCTCCATGTAGTCACTGCAGTCAACCTGCAAACAGAAGAGGAAGAGCATACAGCACACAGCAAGAAATGGGGCTCGGGCTTCTGGAAGCAATAATTTTGATATTAATCTATCCCCTACTAAAAGAATTAACTTCTCTCCCCGAGAGGCTCCCCAGTCATTGACAGGAGGAGTTCACAGAATCATAGAACGGGATGGGACCTCGAGAGGTCATCAAGTCCAGTCCCCTGCCCTCACGGCAGGACCCAGCACCGTCTAGCCCATCCCTGGCAGGTGTCTGTCCAATCTGCTCTTCAATATCTCCAGAGATGGAGATTCCACAACCTCCCTAGGCAATTTATTCCAGTGTCTGACAGGCAGGAAGTTTTTCCTCATGTCCAACCTAAACCGCCCTTTGCTGCAGTTTAAGCCCATTGCTTCTTGCCCTGTCCTCAGAGGCCAAGGAGAACGGGTTTTCTCCCTCTTCCTTGTAACACCATTTTAGGTACTTGAAAGCTGCCATCATGTCCCGTCTCAGTCTTCTCTTTTCTAAACTACACAAGCCTAATTTTTTCAGTCTTCCCTCCTAGCTCATGTTCTCTAGACCTTTCATCATTTTTGTTGCTCTTCTCTGGACCTTCTCCAATTTCTCCACATTGTTCCTGAAATGTGATGCCTAAAACTGGACACAATCCTCCAGCTGAGGCCTAATCAGCGCAGAGCAGAGCGGAAGAACGACTTCTCGTGTCTTGATCACAACACTCCTGTTAATGCCGCCCAGAACCATGTTTGCTTATTTTCCCACCAGAACACAGACCTGGTCAGGAGCTTGGGTGTTTTGAACATCCCTGCACCTGTGTTCAGAACAAAGGGGGGTTCCAACCCGCCCAGTGTACTATTGTGGATGATCCCCATATTGAAAGAGATCAGGGCTCTGCTACACACCGGGTCTTGTGTCTCCCATGGAGTGCTAAGTAGAAAGAAGGCTAACTTTAGGCCCAAGCCTCTGAACAGGGGAGTATGGGAAACTGAGGGTACTACCGTGAAAAAGGTTAGAGCTTCGTTGGAGATAGTAAGATGGGAAGCTCGAAGGGAGCAAGGACATGACCCAAGTTATGCTGCACCTGTGTTTTGGCTATATCTAGTGTAAGCAAAGGGGTTAATGAGTGTGTGAGATGTGCAAATGCTTTATTAAAATGTGATCTATACTGACAGCATGGGGAGGCCTGGGGGGCAGATGGAGATTTAAATCGTGCAAAGTGAAGAGACCGTAAGGAGGTGGTGGAAATATAATTACTGTTAGGGGCAGTTTCACGTTAATTAGTGTTATAAAGGATGATGCAGCAGAGCTTGAACGAATATTGAAAGGGTACTGCTAGGTTCCCGCGTGGTAAGACGGCACGTCCCTCTGCGGTGGGGGAGCAATCGCCAGGTGTCACAGGACTGTAGCATGAGTAGTAATCGCACACCCGTTTGCGTCCCTCAACACTTCCCTTGAGAACACAGGTTGGTTTTAACACTCGTTGCGTGTCCCGGGGCCCTCTGCCACGTACATTGTCTGTCACCAAGCTAGCTGCTTGAACTGGAAAACTAAGCTGGGTTTTGTTGCCCACTCCTGTCCTTACAACGCAATATTGAGTGGCGGCATTGGAGCCGAAAGGGTTACACTCCCCATAGTCCTAGCTCCGGCGGCTCCGTGCCCAGTTTGACACTGCGAGAAGAGACGGTGAGGGGGAAAGGAATGAGATTTTCAGGTTTGG